GATTTATTGAAAATCTGAGTAGCTGTATAAGGTGCATTGCTGCAAATGAGCTCTCCTCCTCTAATGGGCTCTTTCCAGGCAGCAGACCTTCCATAAAAGAGCCACTAATTAAGCAGAAAACAGTTTGTCTTCCTTAGCCACGTTTCAGGAATCCAGCAGGCAGTTTAGAAGATGGCAACATCCTTTACAGGCAAGATGTTAATCATATTCTTTTGTCTCACACCAGGGTCTTTGACCAGCAGTTCCAGTGTGTGTTTGGTTGTGTGTGTCCCTTTAACCAGCAGTTCGGGTATGTGTTTGGGGGGGGTGTGTCCCTTTAACCAGCAGTTCAGGTGTGTGTTGGGGGGGTGTATGTCCCTTTAACCAGCAGTTCGTGTGTTTGGGTGGGGGGGGGGTGTCCCTGTTCCCGTCTTGCTCTCTATCTTGAAGAGGAAGATTTGTTTCCCTGGACTTTGATTTTCATGGAGATCCTTATTAAAGTTACTCTTTAAGGGTCAAACCCACACCAAGCCTTCCTGGTTGTAAAGAGGGGCGGCCTGAGTGTCGATTTGCAGTGGGGACACGCACAGGCTATCCGGGAAGACGCCTGTCAGTCAAACCAGCTGTGATCGCCAGAAGGTCTGACGGCTCCACTCCCTTCCATCTCCATCTGGGTGAGAGTTGAAGGTGTTAGCAGGCTCACCCGGCAGCAGCGCCCAGACCGATGTGCACGCCGCCGCTGCGCGTGCTGCACGTGCCTCCCGATAGAACCTTGAGCTCCTGCCGCCAAGCCTCATTTTGTGTGTGTTATTAAAGCGCCGGTGACGAGGAAACGCAGAGCCCTCTTAATTAGAGAGCTACATTCTTGCATAGTGGCAGTGTTCTGTGTGTGGCATAATTGTCACAGCAAATTACCAGTTAGGTTAAACATTGAGCTGGTGGTTCTCCAAGCTTCCATTCTTTGCTCCACCCCGCCCTCCCCGCCCCCTCCCACCCTCACCCTCACCTGCTAGCCTGCACTTCTAAGTTGATCTTCTGCCAAGTGGTAGCTTTTAAGTGAGGCTTAGAGCAGATACACTTTACAGCAGGAGCGATAAATCTAGCTTTGGGCAAGTTATAGGATGCCAGGAACATCTGAATGAGGGGCACGATTTTTGCTCTGTGTATGGGGGTGTGCTGGGTCATCCTGTGGGTCTTCTGACTCCAGCTCTAAAACTGGGTCCTCCTGGCTGGGTGTGGGGTTCACACCTGTAATCCCAGCACTTTGGAAGGTCAAGGCGGGCAGATCACCTGAGGTCAGGAGATTGAGACCAACCATCTGGCAAACACGGCGAAACCTCGTCTCTACTAAAAACACAAAAATTAGCTGGGTGTGGTGGCACGTGCCTGTAATCCCAGCTACTCGGAAGCTGAGGCAGGAGAATCACTTGAACCAAGGAGGCAGAGGCTGCAGTGAGCTGAGGCTATGCCACTGCACTCCAGCCTGGGCAACACAGCCAAACTGTGTCAAAA